ATTTTGACAAATTCAACGAAATAATGACCACAACCAACTTAATCTATAATTTATTTAATAACCATCGTTGAACACCCGCTCCAATTATGAGTTTACGACTATCAATGTTCAACTCCGCAGTCGTGTAATTTTGAACCCAATCCAAAAGACAAAGAAAGTTCTGGATCAAGTTTTGAACAAAATTTTGCCTTAGAGATGGACTTTTTGATGGAACTAACCCGCATTTATGTTACATGGAGAGGAAAACCTCCCACCGTTGGTAAGGCGGCAAGAGAACTCTAACACATGATCCGTCTATAACTGAGGATATTTTACGTCAGCACTGTGGTCGGTACAAACCGAACATATAGACCAGGGGTTTTCAACTTACATTAGGCCGGGGGTTACAATTAAAAGCACATATCAAATGGCGGGCCGCAACTTTATCAAAAATTTATGTAGGACTCTTATGTTTGAAGGAACATTAAATATTACTGTCAGATTTTTACCAATTTGTACAAAGCAAGAGCATAAAAATATACTTAAGAATATATTTAAGAGATATATAAAATATATTTAAGAGATATATAAAATATATTTAAGAGCACGAAAATATTTACATTTATATTTATAAATATAAATATAAATAATTATAAATATTTTTGTGCTCTTAAACGTTGTTTACCTTAGTTTGTAATATATTTTAGTTCGCGGGCCACAAAAAAAGGCTTCGCGGGTCGTGCCACCTCACTGGGAGGCGAGCTCTCATTCCCCAGAGCCACTAGGACTCGGCATCACTATATGTGAAATGTGGAAAAGAAGTATTTAGCATTTTCTTGATATCGGCTAAAGATTTCGTTTTCAAATTTCAAAAGTTCGATTTTAATTGCTTTTTTTATATCTATTTAATAAATTTATTATTTATTTAATCAGTCTCAAGATGTATGACAACGAATTTTTTAATAATGTTTATTAACTTAATATTTAAAAAACTGAACTAAAAGAAATAGCTGTTCAATAGAAAACAATTATGCAGTTTATTGAATTTTAACGACGGTTATAAAATAAAATAACTATATGTCGAGCCGTGGAGGCTCAGGAGGTAGAGCTTTCCCCTTCCAATGAGACGAACCGGTTTCGAATCCCAACGATGGCTGGTCGATACGAATTCCACACCCGGCTCTCCCCAACCATAGTGCTGACGTAAAAATATCCTTAGTGATAGACGGATCATGGATTAGAGTCCCGTAAACATCAGGCTAACTGTGGGAGGATTTCGTGGTTTTCCTCTCCATCCAAATCAAATATGTTTTAGTTCCATCAAAAAAGTCCTATACAAAGGAATATTTCTTCCAATACTTGATCCAGGAGTTCTGTTGTCTTCTGGATTGGGTTCAAAATTACAAGGCTACGGAGTTGAACATTAGTAGTCGTAAGCTCAACTTTGGGTCGGCTGTTAAGCGACGGATGAATAGGATGGGCACAATGTTCCTCTCTGTCCCAAACCTGATACATTTTGTTCGAATTAATAATTTCATTTATCGAAAGTAACCAGTTTATAGGGTCTCAATACCCTAAATCCGATAATTTTATTTTTAAGCAGCCTATTTTATTCAAAATAATATATTTTGAAACGTTCACAAATTTCCTTTGGGTTCCTGCGCATATGTCCACTGTTCTATCTCACGCCGCTAGCTTCACACGCTGAGAAGTTTTTAGAGTTAACATAATTGTTACTCTTTTGCGTAGAACTCCATATTAGACACCATAGAAATTTTGCACTCTAACTAACTTGGTGAACCGCACGTTCATGTACGCGCGTTCTGTGGAAGTTCCATAGAAAACAGATTGCTTTCCAGTTACTGCGCAGAACTTCGTGAACGAACAGAATGCTATGTGAAATTGCACAATTTCTCTGAAATTACGAATGCTCTACGGATCAAAAATTGAATGAACTTACGAATGTTCTGCACATAGGATCACCATCAGGATCTGTTTTATTACCTCCTAGAAAAGCAGGTAATTCATTAACATCCATAATTTTCTGCAGATCTTCCTGCCAACCATCTATGTGAGGAAAAAAACAATATGTCATAAGCTTATTTAAATATACGACTGTTTGCAATTGGAGTCGGATAAGCTTACCGCCAACGGATAAGCTTACCGCCAACGCTTTTCAATAAACTTATAACGTATATTGCGTTAGTAACTTAGTCTACTCCCCCAACCCAAATTTTTAAATTTTTAAAAGTTTGCGTGTCTTTTTCTTACACAGTTTTCTTGTTTGCCCACTAACGTGAATTTTCTTGTAAAAGCTTTTGATTGACCTGAACTGGCCTTAGGCACAAAATTTGCCTTTGAGGTCAAATGTTCCGTTTATGAACTCGCCATGTGAAAGAACCATAGCTCAAAAACTAGCGGCTTTTTGCGACCTTAGAACCATATGATTAAGAACAAAAAAGAAGGGAGTTGTCTGAAATGCTCGCTTTCCTCAACTTGGCATTCCATCTGGAAAATGACACAAGTTAACTCAAACAAAAAATTAAAAACATAGAGATCCGGTAGAACAAAATCTCCTCTTTCGAACAATATAAAAACCATGCACAAAACATTTAATGATACGGGGAGTGTTAACGTAAAAAAAACGCCGGGGACTTAGTTGCTAATATTGCTTTTAGCAAACAAAATATTATGAGATGTAATTATTATTAGAATAGCAAAATTGATCACTTTATTAATATTGTCACAAAAGAAAACATTTTAATTTCTCATTAACATTTTAATTTTTCATACCTAACTTTGATCATGTACTGTTTGTCTAAAGTAAGAACTCCCCTAGGCATTCGTTTGGACCAGTGCGGTGATTGTGGTAAAGAGGTATAACTATTTCAAGGCAGGTCGGCGAGAGAAAGGGAATCTTTTTCTTCGTCTATTATGTTAGCTCTCGAGTGAAAAGAGGCTAATCTCCCTGAAATGCGCTATTCTTGCTTCCAATAGCAGCAGACGGCCTCAGACTTTGAGGTGGGGGGGGGAGTTCTTACCGTAGACAAACTATAAATTTCTCATTCTCTAGGTCCTATGAAAAATAAAATGGGCAATCTTGTTTTAATGTGATGATATATTTTTATCCCTTCAAATATAATGTGTTAATGCTTTTAGAGAATCATAACGCCAAATATATATTTATATATACTAGTTTTAAAATCTTTTAAGAATCATCATGTTATGGAATGGAAAGAGGCTCAGCAGTTTTTTTTTGCCTTATTTATTAAATTTAACTGAATTATTAGGGTTTTATATATCCATATGTTTATCAAAGAAAATGGTTCATTCTTCTTACCTTTTCCATAAATTTTAACTTTATTTAAGGTTTGTCCAGTGATTAAAGGTTTAATAAAGGTGAACGCAATCTGGAAGTACCATGAAGCTGAAAAAGAGGCAATTAAAGATTAAATTTTTTTATAGCGCTAACTCGCAAAATTCACAAACTGTGACATAAATAGCGAAGAATAAGAATTCTTTTTAAAACTAATAAAACTTTAAATAAAAAACATTATTTCGTTACTTATTAACCCTCTGAACGCTAGTCCCGATTTATTCCGAACTTTCAGACTTTAGCACAGCCAAAAATTGGTTTTACAATATTATTGAAGAGGAATATAGTGCTTAGCAGGAAAATGTCTGCATAGTTTAACCTGGGTCTCAACGATTGAAGGGTTAAAAAACAAATTGTGATTTTCAATTGAATTTTTTTAAGTTATTTATTATGAGATACTCAATTCACTGTTTTGTCTTTTAACCTGTACGTACATTAACTTATTCCCAATGTTTCTACCCCAGTGTCTCTTTATTCACTCGCTATAAAAAGAATCATTCATCATTACATTTCCAGTTAGTCGTGCTTTTTTTAACATAAAAGAAAACAGAATATATAAAGCTTAAGCTTTCAGGTTGATTCAATGTGGATGTTACAAACTTGAAGGGTGGCTCATTGAAATAGAGCGTTTGCCTTCCATTGAGGTGAGTAGGGTTTGAATTCCAAAGATGGCTGATGGTCAATACGAATTCCGTTCTTGGCTCGCACCAACCACAGTGCTGACGCAAAATATTCTCAATGTAGACGGATCATGGGTTAGAGTTCCCTTGCAGTCAAGCTAACCATAGGAGGTTTTCCTCTCCATTTAACGCAAACTTGGGTTAGTTTCATTAAAAAGTCCTCTACGAAGGCCTATTTCTCCCAATACTTGATTCAGGAGTTCCCTTGTCTTCTAGAACAGCGTTTCTCAACCTTTTAGAATTCGCGGCCCAGTTTCTAATCAAAAGTTTCATCGCGCCCCCCGCTTACAGTAAAATGTATACAACAATAATGTATATTGAGTATTTTGAATTCTGTCTTTAAATTATTTTTAACTTCCAAAACGAAAGTAAAGTAAAAGCTAGCAGCAATTGAGATTGTAGAAACTATGTTTGGAGATAATTTTTCTAAACAATTACAGTCCACACCTCTTTCAAATGATACTGTTGCTCGTCGAATTGATGATATAGCTGAAGATGTAAAATGACAGCTTTTCTCAAAATTTTCAATACATCTTGACGAAGCTACAGATATTAATATAGATGCTCTTTTAATTGCCTATATTCGATTTTGTGATAATATGTCAGCAGTAGAACTACTTTTCTGCAAATCAATCTCACTCAAAACAACAGCGCTCGCATTATTTGTTATTTTAAATGATTTTAGGAATGAGAAAGACATAGAATGCAAAAATTACGTCGGAATATGCACCTATGGTGCTCGTTCAAAGTCCGGAAGATTCGAAAGTATGCAAGCACTTGTAAAACAAAAATCGCCTCAATGCGTCTGGACACATTGCATGATCCACAGAGAAGCTTTGGGTTCGAAAGAAATGAGTCTTGGTTCGAATATTGTGTTAACTTTTTTTGTAACCATAGTAAATTATATAAAAATGAGACCCTTGAGATCGAGAATCTTTTCCGCACTTTGTAAAGACATGGGTTGAGTACATTCAGCGTTACTATTTAATTGCGAGGCAAGATGTTTATCACGTGAGAAATTTTTGCGACATATTTCTGAATTAAGAGAATAAATCGCCATTTTCCTAGAAGACAGCAGACCGGAAGCCGAGAATTTTCGCGATTGTTTATTTGTGATGAAATTGAGCTACTTGTGTGTCATATTCAAGAAATGAAATAGCTTGAATCTTCAACTCCAAAAAGCAAATACACATATGTTGGATAAGAGTGATAAAGTTAATGCTTTTTGTAGAAAATTAGAATTGGGTGGCATAAATTTAACGCAAGAAAAAAAAAACCTAACAATGTTTAAAAATGTGGATAATTGTACTAAAACTTATAAGGCAGAAGAAGAACATGTAAATGTTGTTTTTGTAACCATTGAAAGTCATTTAGCCATGCTTGGCAAAGAATTTGAAAAAGTACTTTCTTGCTGACAACAAACTGATAGCCAGTTTACGAGTGGGTTAGGGATCCATTTCATAAGACTTCCGAAGGACTCTCAATTGATTGGGAAGAAAAACTCACAGACTTCACGACAAGTGGCGAAACATAAAATACAATTTAGTAATAAATCGCTATTTGAATTTTGGGCTGGAGTAGAGGATGATTTTCTGCACTAAAATGAAGGGCATTTTGCATTTATTACCATTTTAACATCCTACTTTTGTGAAACACGATTTTCTGCTGTGACTTCTTTGAAGACAAAATATAGATCTCGGCTAAATATGGAAACAGAACTGAGAGTGGCTATTTCTAATATTAAGCCTTACCTCGAAAAACTTTGTTCTGCAAGACAGGCCCAAGGAAGTCACTAATAATTATTAAATTAGTTTTTAATTTAGCATGTTTTAATTAACACGTTCATGCCGGGGTGACCCACCAGTGGGTCACGCTAGATTGTCTCATATTGGCAGCGCACTGGAGTAAAAACTGGTAACAATAAATTTCATTTTTTAGTTTTTTTCCGGGAATAATAAAAAATCATAACTACCAATTGTTTTTAACGGATGCAATTTTTATACTGAATTGCTTCTTTGAATTGTTATTGTTGAGAATAGATTAACTCCTCCCGAATATTATCTAAGTTTGAAATAGTTCTTCTACCAGTATTTTCTCTTTTCCCGTATCAGTATTTTCACTTTTCCCGGCGAGAACGTGTTAAGTAAGGTGGGTGAACCAAAGGTGGTTAGATCTCCTAACGTGGCTCATCCCCCAAAAGTAGAATTAAATTTATTTCGAATCACAAGATGGCCTTGCTGCATTGTATATCTTGTATCTGAGGTGCACGTGGCTGAATTGGAAGATATTTCCTTGAATGACCTCCGTTCTATGAAGTGATTTTATTTTTTGCAGTTGTCGTTCTAATTTCCGGGTATATAAAAAGATATTGTAATTTATATATGTTTAAATTCTTAGAACTTTGAGTTAAAATGCGTTTTCTGAGACCTTATTTCTTTTTATTTAACCACATTACTTAAATTCGAATTAATCTATCAGATTAATAGTTCTAAGTCGTGTAAATGGTGACCCTATGCATGTTCCCAAGGTGGCCTGACAAAGGCGGCGGACACGTGGGCCACCATCGGAAACAAACGTGAAATCTATAAAAGAGTTCATTATAAATCATTGCGTAGTATATTATTTATCAAAAAGGAATGATTTAATTGAATTCCAATTGATTTATTTCATTTTAAGTAAACGTGGAACTTCAGTATTTTTTAAATGTTTGTAATATTTTGACGTTCTGTTCTTTAGCAGAGTTTGCGATACTTTGCTTCAAATTTTTTGTTTTAATTACATTTTAAAGTGATTTTTCAAGTATTTTTTAGAATTTTTGTGGTAGTTATGAGTGTGTTTGTGATAGATTTTGGTATTTTCTTGTAAATTAGGCTATTTTTATAGTTATGGGTTAGGTTAGTTAACTCTTGTATGGTTATTTAACTCTTACTTATTAGTTATGGTTAGTTAACCCTTTTGACACAATGAAATCAGTAATTCTTGATTTACTCTAATGAGTTTACTCAAGAGAATCGCTAGTGACTTCACACAAGAACTATATCACTGTAAAATATTTATGTACACTCTAAAATCAAATATCATTTTTTATAGTCCGTAAGACTTGTCCCCACCAGCGAAAGACACTTAAAGTACCTTTTTAAAAGTTTGCCAGTCCAAGTGTCTTTTCTAAAGATAATTTGAGTAAGTGAAAAAGTGATTTCAATATATGGCTCACCTTTGGAACATGCGGGAAACCTTAGGAGCAGAAGCTACCATTTTGAAATTGTACTATAAAATAAATGAAATTTTATTTTTTAATTAAAAGTATACGTGATATGTACTAGAGATAGTTGTAAGATGTTACAAAAAAATTTCAGCCACACAGCCAGAAAATTAGAAAAAATCCTCAAAGCAAAGCCACCTTTGGCTCCCCACCTTAAGTTTTGATTTAATAAGTTGTTATACTTTAATATAAGTTATTAAATATGTCGAAATGTATTTCGTTTTCTGTGTGTATGTGCGCTTTCCTTCCATCCAGTTAAATAATATTTTTAAAGAATATTTTCTCTTGGGTATTCTCGCGCCACCCCTCAAGTGTGCTCGCGCCCCCCTAGGAGGGCGCGCCCCACAGGTTGAGAATCGCTGTTCTAGAATGTATTCAAAATTACAAGGCTACTGAGTTGAACATTAGTAGTCGTAAACCTAAAATTGGCTGGCTGTTCAACAACGGTTATAAAAAAAAAAATAAAGTATCTGAAGTTTAGAACATTCAGAACTTTTGCTCAATTTAGAAAAATGATTAGAGTGGAAAAAAAGAAGGTTGCAGAACTGTAAAAGCAACTATTTCGCCAATTGTTAGAATAAAAAATTTAGGGCTTCTAAAAAAAATATTCGGCACTTTTCCATTTCGCCAACACAAATAAATTCATCTATTTTTATTTATTTGTTTATTTAATTTAAAATACAGCTGGAGTATAAAAAATTAATAAAATAAATAAATAAATAAAAGTAAAAACAGGTTGATTTGCTAGGGCCCGGTGATTTCGTATTGGTTACTTTATCGTATGCAACGGCAGAATGGTAAGTAGCCGCACATTAAGCTATTGGCGATGGTCCGGAAAACTTCTCTGAGGATAATTCGAAGACAGGCCGTTGCAATTTTAGTCCTCTGTAGAGGGGATGGCTTCCCTGTTGCGGTAGACTGACGACCTGCGTGCGAAGTTGAGCACTTTACGGTGGAATAGTTTAACGAGGACCGATACCGCGCTCCCTCGGTCACTACGCAGGCTGATCAAAGTGGTCACTCACCCGCCTATTGACCGCAGCCCGCGATGCTTGACTTCGGTGTCCTACCGCGTCTTTTCGATCAGTCCATTGCGGCGAAATAGAAAAGGCATTCATAAATTAAAAACAATTCATTACGTACCATTTATTATCATTGCGCACTTTAGATGCTCCGGATAATTTCCTTCGTACATAGAAAGCATTTTACTAGCAGCTTCAAGAGCTATAAAAAATAAAAGATTATTTCAAATAGTAGTAATTTTATTGTAACTCTATTTCTATTTTGATTTTAAATGTTGTTCTGAAGTTGGGTTGTGAAAAAAATGTTGTTCTGCAGTAGGGTCTAAATCCCCCCCAGGGGGGGATTTAGACCCTACTGCGCAAGGCTTAGTACAATTTCCCCAATCAGGTTGTTGGACGCAATATTGTGGATCCCTATCCTCTTTGACCTCCTGGCTCACAACGGGTTTTAAGATTTACTTCCAACAAATTAATTAATGATGCAAGTTAATTGATAAATTAATGAACAACAATTAATTGATCAATTAATGATGCAGTTAATTAATTGAACAATTAATGATGTAAATTAATGATACACATTAATTGATCAATTTATGAACAACAAGTAATATTGGTTAAGGTACAAAGCTGTCATTGTGACGGATTGAGGTTCAATCCCCTGGAGAAGGGGGAATTTGGCCCCACTGCGGAAAGCTTAAAACAATTTCCCCTGTCAGGTTGTTGGACGCAATATTGTGTATCCCTATCCTCTTCGTCCTACTGGCTCACAACGGGCTTTAAGATATATTTTCTACAAACTAATTAATGATGCAAATTAATTGAACAATTAATGATGCAAATTAATTGATAAATTAATGATGCAAGTTAATTGATAAATTAATGAACAACAATTAATTGAACAATTAATGATGCACATTAATTGCAAATTAATGATACACATTAATTGATCAATTAATGAACAATAAGTAATATTGGTTAAGGTACTAAGCTGTCATTGTGACGGATTGAGGTTCAATCCCCTGGGGAGGGGGGAATTTGGCCCTACTGCGGAAAGCTTAATACAATTTCCCCTGTCAGGTTGTTGGTCGCAGTATTGTACATCCTTATCCTCTTTGACCTACTGGCTCACAACGGGCTGTAAGATTTACTTTCTACAATGCTGAAAGAAAACACAAATAATTAAATTCGAAAAGGATAAAACTTCCTTCGAAAAAACGCGCTAAGAAGCAGCAGAAATTTCAGAAAAAAGTATCAATACAAGAAACGAATGAAATAAAAATAAAAATATGACCACCGAAGCCGACATCTTCAGGGGGTACCGGCCTCGGTAGCCATTAAAAACAAAACCATTTCTATTTGAGGGAGAAGCAAATGTTTAAAAAATCTCCCTCAGTACCCCGATGGTTTTGTATAGAGGTCCAGGAAAAACAAGATACATTCAAAATAATTAACAAATTAAGAAAAGAAACTCATTCAAAATCATCTGAAAAACTCACTAAGTCACAGGTCAAGCATCAACTTCAAAAGCAAGTAGAGGAAAAGAAAACACTAAAAACTGAAAAACCAACGCCCCCTATTATAATGCGCAGAAGAAGTTTAAAATGAAATGGAAAAGGTCAGGAGAAAGAAATACGTAGACAAATTAATAGAATGCTTAACTGGGGCTGCTCAGTTAAGACTAGAATTGCGCCCTGTTAAAAGAAAAAATTATATAAAAACTTAGAAACCATCAATCATTTTTTTAATTAAAAAATTAACATTACAAAAATTAAAAGGAAAATCATTTTTACTCAAATTATTTAAAAAATTATCCACAGCTTCCCGAAAACTTTCAACATTATTGCAAATTTTCTTGATCCTAACTAATTGCGAAAAAACAAGATTTTTGAATATTTTACTACACAAATTAGTTTTAAAGTTGCAGAAAAAAATAACATTAAAATTAAAGGCTTTTCTTTTATCAAACACACCAATTTTAATAAAATTGTTAACAATATCAATTTTAAAATCTAAATATTCAATATTAAAGCAATTTTCATTAGTTTTTTTCAGGACCAAATCACCAGGATAAATTGTATAAATAAAATTATAATCGTCACAATTAAACAAAATCAAATCATCAATGTATCGGAAAGCATTAAGTACTTTATGTTCAAGAAATTTAGCCTCAAAAAAGTGCAAAAAAATGTTGGCAAAAGCCCCAGAAAAGGAATTACCTTGTGGAATTCCAATAATTTGTTTATAAAAATCTAAACCATTAAAAAGAACATTCTCAAAAAGATTAAACTTGCATAAATCTAACCAGTTAAACCTATCAATTTTTTCATCAAATAAATACTTGTCATAAATACCTTCACAAATCTCAATAATTTTTTCATGTGGTATGCTGGTATACAAATTTTCAAAATCAAAAGTGTTAATGCTGGAAATATCATTACTTTTAATAAAATCCAAAACTTCAACATTACTTTCAATAATAATATTTTTCTCTTTTTTAATTTTAAGCAAAATAATTTTTAAAAAACAAAAAAACCTTTTACTAATATCAGAATTATAACTATTAGTACCACATGCTATAAACCTAAATTTAATCGGATTTTTATGAAATTTAACTATTGGAAATAAATATGGAAATGTAATCCTATTTAATTTAAATTTTAATTTTTTACTAAATGCAATAATTCTTTTTTCAATAACTTTTTTATCTTCTTTTAACTTTAAATAGGTATTATTTGCATTATATTCCCCAATAATCAATTTTTTAAAAAAATATTTACACATAATACAGAAATTATTTGAAGCTTTATCTACAACAGTAACAATGAATTTATCCTTAAGATTTTTAATTTTTCTAGATAAATCATAATCAATAAAAGTACCTTTAGGAAATGAACTAAAACTGGTATTAAATAAATTAAATTTAACCCTTTCAATAATTTTAGCTTTCCACTCAGAAAAACCTTCAACAGGCCAATGATATTTTCTGGAAATTTTTGCAATAAAAAAATCTAGATCTTTTTTAATGGATAAAATAAAATCTTCTTTTTTCATCTTAACTCTGGTTCTAAATTTTGAACCCTTACTTAAAATGCTAATTAGATCCTGATCACCCACAATTTCCAAATTTCCGGTAATAACATGTCCATAATCATTATCAATAAATTTTGAAAAACCCTCCTCATTACAATAACAATCAAATTTAGAAATACAATTAAGATTTCGACTTAAAAAATTATAATTACACGCCTTTTTTCTAAGTGTAGAAGAATATTTAAAAGCAGTAGAAATCCTAATTTGTTCTAAAGGAAAGAAATCAGAAACAACTTTCTACAAATTATTTAATGAATGTACTGCAATTATGTTATAAATTTATTGATCAGTTAACAAACTGATCATAATTGTTCGGGAAAAACAAGTGCGTTTTTTTACATGAGGATAAGTTCTAGAGAAATTCAAATTAAAATAAGGTTCGGGAAATTAAAAAAAAAAGATGATCAAACACTTGATACGTGCTGCAATTAATTAAAATATAAGAAAAGAAAGACTTAAAATGGGTTATATTAAAAAAAAGATAATTTTTGTCAGCTTTTGTTACATGGTTAGCGGTTTCTTAACATGACGACTGTGGGCACTAATGGCAGCACGTATCATAATCTGATCATACATTTCCTTACCTGGCTTATGAGTTGCAAGTGTGAGTGGGAAGTTTTCAAAATCAAGTACGTGAATCCATTTGTCAACATTTCTGTTCAACTGCAAAAATGTAAAAAATATATAATAAGTGAGATATCGATATAGAGATATAGTTATATTACGCAAATTAGAACATAATTTTCAAACTTTGTTCTCTCTCTATATAAGATTGCTTTATTGCCGTTCTTGAACAACAGACCCAATTTTTTGGGTTCACGATTGATAATGTCAATTCCGTAGCCTTGTAACTTTGAACCTCATCTAGAAGACAAGTGAACTCCTGGATCAAACATTGGGAGTTGTTTGCCTTCGTGGAGGACATTTTCATGGAACTAACCCGCATTTGCGTTACATGGAGAGGAAAACCAAGAAAATTACCAACGATTAGCCTCACGGCAAGGGAACTCGAACCCATGATCCGTCTACAACTGAGGATATTTTACGTCTGCACTGTGGTCGGTGCAAGCCGGATGCGGAATTCATATCGACCAGCCGATGCTGGGATTCGAACTCGGTTCACCTCATTGGACTGCGAACGCTCTCCCCTGAGCCCTCACGGCTCCTATGAATTGTTTAGAGTTTTCATTTTTACTTTAAGCAGTAAGGATCTTAGAAGAACCGTGAGCTACTAATGATTTGCAGATCATGTTTTAATGCCCGGTAAATGATCATTTTCAGTTCAGAACAATAGCTCAATAGGCAGATAAAATTTTTTTTTTAAAACTGCCACAAATAAAAGTAAAATATGTGTTGAAATTCTTTACAGCTTGATGCTGTCTAACAGGTGTAACTTTGTCTTAAGAAACCCAATACATTATCCAGCAAGTGAGGTTTTTGGAATTGTGTCATAAAATGAAACTTTTAGCTAATTATCAATTTGATAGTTGCTTAATAAATCATCTACCAAGTGAGATTTCTTGAATTTTGTAGTATAAGGCCCTCGGAAAGAAAACGGATTCCTTGCTCAGAGCAAAAACATGTCATGTAAATGACCAAAAAGATTAAAAAATGATGTCGAAAAGCATGTTTTTTCGAATGTAAGCACAGTTGTTTTAATTTAAAACTTTTCAGTGTTTTTAAGGTTACATTCTTACACTGAGCTATGTTTATATCTTTGCGGCCAGTCTCTCACATTCAAAGAGCAAGTTTTAGTTAATGTGATATGATAAATTATATATCAAGCCTTAAATAGAAAAAAAAATCATAAAAGGAAATTTTGTTTAAATAAAGAACCTCTTGCAGCAAATTCATGTGGCAAAGCATAAGGAATTTCCTCGCAAAATTTATCTTTTCAGTTCAAAATTGTTTTGACAGATGGTGCTAGACTTGTAAATCAAAAAAAGAAGATAATTATTTGAAAATCACCTTGCACGTTAAGGAAGATTTTAATAAAAAAAGCAATCGAATTACGATAGTCTCTAAACACTCACTATCAGAAAATATTGCATGTCATCATCGGCTGACAAAAATTGCATAGATACGGGGTGACAATTATATTGAACTAAATTAAATAAAACGTAAATCATTTAAAAACTACTCAGTGCAAAGACATTATTCAGCAAGTAAACGTAACTACAAATATTTTATTTTATACCCTTCGTTGAACAGCCGACCCAATTGCGGATACCAGTGTTCAACTTGTAGCCTTGCAATTTTGAACCCAATCCAGAAGACAAGTGAACAAAGGATCTAGTATTGAAAGAAATTTGCCTTTGTGGAAAACTTTTCGGTGGAACTAACCTGCATTTGCATTACATGGAAAGGAAAACTGAAAAAACCTCCCACGGTTAGCCTCGCGTCAAGGAGACCCAAACCTATGATCGGTCTACCACAGAGGATATTTTACGTCTGCCCCGTAGTTGTGCAAGACTGATGGGGAATCCGTTCCGACCAGTCATCGCGGGGATCTGAACCCAGTTCATCTCATTGGAAGGTGAGTGCTCTATTCCCTAAGTCACCAAGGTTCTCACTAAAGATATTTTGGATATCATAAACGTTGTTAAAAAGCCGACGCAGCTCTTGTGTTTACGACTACTAATGATCAACTCCGTATCCTTGTAATTTTAAACCCAAACCAGAAGACAAGGGAACTCCTGGATCAATTATCGGGAGAAATTGGTCTTAGCGGAGGACCTTTTGATGGAACAAACCTGCATTTGCTTTAAATGGAGAAGAAATCCTCGAGAATCTCCCATGGTTAGCCTAATGGCAAGGGGATTCTAACTCATGATCTGTCTGCCACTGAAGACGTATTACGTTAGCACTGCAGTCGGTGCAAGCCGGGTGCGGAATTCATATTGACCGGTCGCTGGGTTTCGATCTTGGGTCACCTCATTGGAATGCGAAAGTTTATGACATGTTTGATAAACTTGCCATCCTTGACTATGATGTGGCGCAGACGATTAGCGAAATTCTGCAGAACCCGCTGAAGAGTCCGAACATTGATGATTTCCTGAATGACAGTTTTTAGCTCAATAATAGTTTTTGGGATATTTTTGTACACATTGTTTTTAATATAGCTCTACAAAATTGAGTAACATGTGTTCAGATCCGGAGAATATGGCGGCCACATGAGTGCCATTCAAATGGCTTCACAAACGATCCACGCTCAAGCACGCTGCACTACCGTGACATTTCCCTTGCAAATGACAGACAATAAGAAGTTGTGTGCCCTTGCGGATACGGATTCCCATCATGCTGTGCGGCCAACTGCTAAGTTTGAACTTCATCACGCAAATCGTTCAGAAGTTACGATTGTTCTATTCATATTGTTCAATAATTGTTCCCCTGTACTTCAAAACACAATATGAAAATGGTAGAATGAATTTGTAGCACCTAGGACATTACTTTTAACCAAAACCAGAAATTCTCAGAGGCAAGATTAACGGTTGATAACATAGTATTCAACAAGAATCTCATATTTTCTTAAATACATTTTTGAAAACCACTGGTCTGACATAAGACAATTTGTTTTTTAAATTATAAACTGAACTACGACAGAAAAGGAAGAATATAGAAACGTGCAGCTTGTTGTTTCTGCACAGGAAATCAGAAGATTTATTCTCTCCAATAATAGTTACACAAAGCTTGTCAACAGATGGAGCTACTAACTGAGAGATATTATGAAACAATGTCTCAAAATAACCACGATTTTTGGGATAACGTGTTGTAGTCTGAGAAAACATTTAACAAATGCCTGTGCAAATATCTTAAATAGAGTTGTCTGAGGGAAACATTATCTTACAGTTTTTTTAACTCAGCTATTGACAAACTTAGAGACTAATTCTGAAATTTAGCGAGAAAGTCTTGTTTCCTAAGAGGAACTCAGCGAAAATAGATTATTATATTCATCCATTTTTTATTAATTATTTTTTTTTATTTTTCGGAACACTTGATATAATTTAGGAGTGGTTTATTCGAAATGTATAACTTACTTTTTCACTTTGCTCTTTCATTACAAAAATATCAGATTCCAGTAAATTTATGAAGAAATGTAAACATTCTGTTATTTTTATTGTTTTTAGGAGTCCTGAAAGAAAGAAAATACATTTTTGATTATTATGATACACCATTTTTTTCTAACTGTTTCATTCCAAAAATTGACACTGGTCATTTAGTCAAACCATATATATATATATATATATAAAAATATACAACCAATNCTATTTTCTGGTCAATAGATGGTGAAATATATATACATAGAATAACTGTTTATTTAGGATATAATAACATAATCGACTTAATAAAAATGCCAAGTAAAACTATTATAATTGTAAGAATCTATTTTTTACAAAAAATATTTTTATTTAACTACATTTACAGACGTAATAGATACTTTAAATATTCAAAATTAATTCTAAAAAATGTACCGATAATTTTAAAATTCTGTCAGATCATGACTACGAGAAACTGCTCGTTTCGTTTTATTTTTGTTTACAGTTCTCAACCAATCAGAGAATGTTATCTTCATGCCTTCATCTAATTATGTTAGAAGCAACAATACCATTATTTAAAAAAAAAAACATCATTAAATTTTGGTGCAGTACCTTTCGCATCAAGGGCACCAAAAGTAGAATAGGTAATTGGAGAACCCTCATGGTCAACTCCAATTCTGGTAAATGGTATAAACCTTCTAGAAGCCTGAAAAAAATAATGACATCTATTATTTCCACTCCTGAAATTAAATCAAGTGTATTATTTCAAAATCTGCCATTTCCTATGTAGAGGGTGATTCTGCGCAATACCTCCTAGAACAGAGAAGGCCTCAGCACGGGTTACCATAAATAAGAAATTTGATCCTTTAGTAGCCCAAACGTAGTAACATCTTTCTTATCTATGATCCATTGCTAGGTTTATGTTCGTTAAATGGGACAACTAAATTGATCAGTGCTGAGGCCTTCTTTCTTCTAAGAAGTGCTGTTCAGTAATCATTGGATCAATTTCGAGGTTCTGTTGAGCATCTAAGACACGTATTTCTTTTAACAGGAATTTAAGATCTAAGGTAGCGTTTTACGATAAGAACGGAAATAAATTACGTTGAAAGAAATTTAAAATTATTTACAAAATCAGCACAAATTTCTTGACACAGTACTTACAATAAATGTTTGAAATTGTGATCACGAACAGAAATATAATATAATCCTGAATTTGGCATCCGGGAAAGAAGTAATTGCTTAATAGGCAACCTATCAAGAGCTATTATGAAATGACCAAAAAAAGGAAGAGATCGTTGTCGTTAGCTATTCAATTAAATGGCACAAAAAGCCACGAAAACAGATGATCGTTATGACTGATAAACAACAAATTAACTAACTGAAAACTTTCACACTTTCGCACATGGATCCGTAATGGCTCAAGGGATTGAGCATTCGCCTTCCAAGGAGGTTAACCAGGTTCGAATCTCAGCGATGACTGGTCGAAAAGAATTCCACATCCGGCTCGCACCGACCACAAAGCTGGCGTAAAATATCCTCAGTGGTAGTTAGTATGTATTCACAGAAATATATACCTTTGGTTCACTATTGGTACTAGTAGATTTTGACGGTCAACCATTTTATATTATAGTAACAACCGTTCTTAAACAGTCGACCCTATTTTGGGTTTATGACTACTAATGTTCAACTCCGTAAACACGTAATTTTGAACTTAATCCAGAAGACAAGAGAACTCTTGGATCAAGTATTGGGAGAAATTCTGTCTACGTGAAGTACTTTTTGATGGAACTAACCCGCATTTGCGCTACATGGAGAAGAAAATCAGTAAAACCTCTCACGGTAAGCTTGACCGCAAGGGAACTCTAACCCATGATCAGTCAACCAAGGAGGATATTTCACGTCAGCACATTAGTCGGTGCGATTCGGGTGCGGGATCCGTATCGACCACCCATCGCTGGGATTCGAACCCGGTTCACATCACAAATGACAACAATTAACATTTCATTTATAACATTCATTATACTAACATTTCATTATCAACATTTCATTAGTTTTTTGGGGGAAATACTCCTCCCGAAATAGGAACTTTTTTGTTTTTCAACGCTGAACTACATATGTGCATTTTCCTAAAGTTTCAAAACTTAATAATTTTTTTCCGTTACTTTTCCTAATTAAAATGCACTATTAGGGAACTTGAGAAAGATGCATCAAAATAATTAAAACAACATCATCAAATTTACGTAGTAAATAAATGATGTAGTTTTCTCTATACGAATTATCGTAGAACATAAAAGCATTCAATTTTGCATAATTTCGTTTTTTATTGATCACAGCTATTTAATTTTATTGACTTATATATATATACTATCACATTTACAGCAGTTATTTTCCTATTGAATAATTCAAAAATGCAGTTTTAAATTTTTGTATAACTTACTTCATGAGGTATATACCATTGCAGTATGCTATCTACTCTGTTCAATTTTCTCCAATTTATATGCTGCAAAGAAAGATGATAGTAATTTTCATTTTCACAATATTATAAAAAGATTAGTATAATAATAATGTATGATAATTACTATAGTTATTATTTTAAGATTACAGATGAGATTGCTAAAATGAAATTTTGTTTAAGCTTAAAAAATAGATAAAATTTATTAATAAAGGGGGTTTTACTGCCTTGTTTGTCACGTCCTGTACTTACAAGAACAGAGTATACTATCTGGACTCTGTTGGTTGCCCTTTTGATTGATGATAGATCCCGTCTGGGGAGACTTTCCGCCAGTTTTTGATTGACTACTACTACACTGGGAATTGACTACTATGCGCACAGGACCACCGGAGTGAGTGTTGCTAAAATACCTGGATTACCCATCTTCAGTAGCTTCACTCGTTTTCCTGCGTTATGAAATTAGACTTTTTTGGAAATAATAAGTAATTTTCATAGCTGCTGTGAATTTGCAATAGTTACTCATGATGGTTAGGTCAAGTTTAGCTTATCTAAAGCCAGCACTATCTCTGCTTGCTCTGAAGACGGCGCAAAACGTGACTAAAGGCCTGGTTTCTTAGGACAAGCACCTTATCTGGGCGTCAGCGTTAAGTTAACGTTACCCTGACGCCAGCAAAATGCTGGTTTGTTAGCTCAAGGCCTGGTTTCTTAGGAGAAGCGTCTTAACTGGGCGTCAGCGTTAAGTTGATATTATTTTGACGACATAAAAATACCTTTTTGTTAGCTCAGCGTCAGCAGTCGGTCCAACACAGACATTATCTTGCATTGCGCATGCGTTAATAACGTTAACAAATATTTATTTTGAGTTTGTATTGATTTTGTGATTGTCGACCAATGCTTTAAAGAACGAATAATGTATTTGTCCAAGAAAAAACACATTATAGCTTAGCTAAATGAAGAAGAAGAGGAAAAAGAAGCCATGTTTAATGTTAAAATTAAAATCTTGGCTGATTTCAATGCTCTGTTGTTGGCTGTTGTCCGCTATTGCTTCTGTTGTTAACGTCACGTTGTAATCCAACTGCAGTTGATTTGGACGGCAGTTATTGTTCAAGCTGAGCGTTCGATGACGTATGCTGTCAAACTCATAAATTAACCAATCAGAGTAAACGCTCGTTTCAAGCTGACGCTGACGTTTCCTAAGAAACCAGGCCTTAAGGAAAAAAAAGAACGCAGTTTTGTAAAAATGAAAAGTGTTTGTGGTCTAATTTTTTGATATTTAAAAACTTAATTCAACGCCTTTTATAAAAATTTGCAAAAATTGAGAATAAGGCAGTGATTTTGTTTAATTTCATCAAGATTATTTGTTTTTCAATGTCCACCTGGAGAATGACCTTTCGTCAATACAGGTATTTGAAGGGCAGATTTATTGGCCAAGCTTTCAGGAGCACCATATTAGGTGGGCCAACGTTGCTCCCACAGTAAGGATCGATAGTACAGAGAATGAAAGAACATCCATGTCTTGCCCGGGATTCGAACCCAGAACCTTTCTGATACAAGGCCAGTTCCTTGACCCCCACACAGGCCAATCGGCTATCTAGATTCTAAATAAAGCTATTTTAATAGTTTTCATAAAAATTAAACTAAAGTTTTATAAAGAAATACCAGTTTTTGGGGTCTTATAAGTTGTCAGCTGCAACACTACTTTAAAGTATCAAAACATATTAAAAATCATAAAAAGATCGATAATAGAAATTTTTTTTTCTCAAATGAACGAAATATTTTAATATGTTTTTATCATACTTACATTTCTTAACATGTTTTCTGCTGCTCTAATGTCATGATTTCTAGCTATGAAAAATAAATTATTTAAATTAGAGATAAATTTAAAATATTTTTATTATTTTTATTTTAAAAAGGTTTTATTTCAAGTCAATATATAAAATTTGCTGTAATTGAGATATAAATAGGCTAAACAATTCATTTAAAATATTCTATAGCTTTAGGAGAACTAATTTGATATTAGAAATTCCCTCACCTGAAGCAGGACAGATCAAGTATTTCTAAAAATGCTACAAAAAACTTGTTCCCTAGCGTAATTATTAAATTTTTATTTGGTACACCTTTATATCAAGTACACATTTATGTATTTATTTATTTTTCTCCTAATGAATTCACAAAATACACGGGAAATCAATGATTATGCGAATCAGAGGTGCTGAACACTTGTGCATTGGCAAATTACCAATGGAGCTTCGGCCAGCTTTCATTAATTTTATTTTATTTCATCAAAATCAATTTCAATATATTTAATTGGAGCCGTGGTGTCTCAGGGGCATTTGCCCTTCATTGAGGTGAATCGAGCTTGAATCCCAGGGTCGATACCGCACCCGGTCGCACCGACCACTGTGCTGACGCAAAATATTCTGGAGGCAGACGAATCACGGGTTAGAGTCTCCTGTGCTCCTCGCTAACCGTAGGAGGTTTTCGGGGTTTTCCTTTCCATGTAACGCAAATGAAGGTTAGTTTCATCAAAAAACCTTTCACGAAGGCAAATTTCTCTCAATACTTGATTCAGAAGTTCCCTTGTCTTCCGGATTAGGAGCAAAATTACAAGACTACGGAGTTAATCATTAGTAGTCATAAACCGAAAATTGGGTTAGCTCTGCAATGGCGGTCACAAAACAAAATATATTTAATTATTTCGTTTGAATTTAAAACATTTGAGCAGTAGCTTATTTTTATTATTTATTTAATTACTTATTTTTGAAGTTAAACTTCTTATGCGACTTCCAACAAGGTTGCGTTAAAAATTTAACGCTTCATTTTCATTGGCCGGGAAATCACGTGGTAGGATCCAGTTTTCCCTCATTCATTTCCATATTGTTCTGCTTCTTACTAGCACAAAAATAATAAAAGTATTGTTTTTCTATAGATATTTTTTTTAGTTTGTTTCGATACACATATAATTAAATAGGGTAGTATTTTTATTTTCAAATTTAGTGGATAACAATTGTAAAAAATGAGTGAAAACAATTCCACGGACAATGCGACGGATTTAAGGTTATGTCAAGGTACGTCTCTTGTGAATATCAATTGATTGTTAGGTTTTCTCTTCTGAAATTACAGTATGACGCATTCACATTCATTATTAATACAAATACATTTTCCAGGGCGAGACGATGAGGCAACCACAAGCACTTCCACTGGTTCAAGAGGTTCACGTGGGAAAAATGCACAATATTACTGTGATTACAGAGCACGGAAGCGAGCCGAGCAGGAAAAAGAGTCGTTGAATAGAACTAGTGATCCTTCTACGACTGCTGATTCTTCTACTATTAACGTCACAGGTTGCGAAGTTTAACTTCTTCCGCGCGGAGGGACTCCACGCACTATTTTTTTTATTCATTAATTTTTTCTTTTATTGTTGAAAGTACTAAAAAAAACAGTTAAGAGAAGCACATTTCTTCACTCTGTTTACCCATCGGCAACTTCCAACATTAGTCAGAATAAAATATACTCGAACAGTATGGCGCATCTTGTCAAAAATTTGGCGCATATGTCAAAAGTTTTGCCGCCTTAAATGATTTGAAAAGTGTGACTATCATGTCTTACCTCTAAGAAACCTAAGGAACATGTTTGTGTCTGCATATAATTCTGGACTCATAGTTCCTTTCAAAAGATGCCTTAGCTGAAAGTTGAAAAATAAATTGATACAGTCAAAACATTATCCATGTTAAACTCAAAAGCAAAAACAATAACTTATGTAACAGAATTCTAAAATGTTGAATACTTTCCTGAATATATAGGTTAATTTTAGGTGTCTAAATATTGTCTAGATAATACAAAAATGCCTTTTCTTGCCTTAAGCTTCTAATTCGTTTCTGACACTCATATAAGATGTTGGCGTTTTTAGTTTGCTGCGAAAGATTCTGTTTCAACTTTCTTTCTTTGTTTTTTGCACTTTAAACCTTCTTCCAATCTAAATAATAGTCTGCCATTTTGATCTTTCATTCTCTGAAGTTTCCAAAATTGGAAGGCTTGACAGAATGACTGCTGTGTTGTTAAAAAAAGATCCAATTTTTTTTTCTGTATGACTAAGAGCCTTCTTAAGTTGAGCTTTTTAGCGGTAGCTCTGGAAATATTTCTAAATCTTGAAATTTTCCTCTCAAAAAATAAAATTTTAAAACATTTAAAATTTACGAAATTTTATTTGTTTGGATACGAAAGGGAAAGCAAATAACATTTACGAAAATTCACTCATTTGCTCAAGAAGTTTAAAAAAGGGAGTTTTGGTAAAATAAATTGTTTTGAACTCAATTGAACAAATTGGAAGTAGAGCCTGACTAAGGCAGGGGTATACGGGGCAGTTGCCCCGATTCCCCACATCGGAGTGGGCCCCAAAATCGAATAGAAAGTTTATTTTACGTTTCCTTCTTTATTGAATTTTTTTTAAACAAAATATCAGTGCAGTGTAAAATCCGTCAGTTTTATGTCAGCTTTTTCAGTAATCTATGATATGAACACAAAAATCTATAACTCGTAAATTCATGGCTTTGTAGGGCGGAGGTGGGTTGGACTTTATAGCTTAGGTTCTAGTCAATTTTCTTGTTATATATCTATAATGAGGTTAAAAATTTAAATACCTCCATAAAGTTCGGTTCTTCATTATTGAAGTAGTGAAGCAGAGGGGGCCCCCAAAAAAGTTTCCTCCCCGGGCCCCAATTACGCTTAGTCGGGCCATGATTGGAAATATAGAAATATCTAAGCAGCCATAACTTCACTTATTTATCTATTGAAAACCTATAAATGATCTATCAATTAACAGTACAATCAATTGAAGAACATATCATTTCAAATTAAAATAACGTTAACAACTGGTAGCCATTAATGACTATACGGAACTTGATAAATTGATTATAGTCAAGTGATAAAGTGCAGCCTTTGGCTTAGACATCTCCATTTAAAACGATAATTGTTCCAATGCAAAACCGTAAGTTCTAGTTACAATAACGATGTTTCCTCTCTCAAAAGTTAATCCGTGTTACCAAACAAAAAATAAAAAAATGATAATCAATATATTAAAAAAGGAGAAAAATTAGCGGAAACACAAACAATTTATTTAATGTTACGCCATACAAGTTCATTGTCGTATCGATTATTAAAGAGGGATTCAATTCTGCGATTCAATTATATCTTTAGTGTATCGGTTACTTACCCTGAGACCTTGAAAAACTAGTTTGGTCTGGTCGTTCTGTTTTAGAAATAACTGCACGTTCTTTAAAAGCTTTTCGTATTTTTGTGCATGTCACTTCAGTTTATTGAAACTTTTGAGATGTTTATTTTTTCATTGAACTTATGGCTCCTGGATATATATTTAATATGTCATACATTTTTTCAAACTTTTGAGTGAGCGTTTTATTACAGCTTATTTGCATGTCATTTTATTAACGGATGTTAATTTAGTTCCTTTTGAAAAGAGATTTATTTATATAAATTAAAAAACACATAAAACCAATAGTATTGTAACTAGAGAACTCTGCCCCGACTGGCCGCAACCTTTTTTATGATATTTTCATGCATATTTTTACGCATCCATTTTCGTCTTGACATTAACCACTTGAGGCGGAATATTTATTAAGTACATTTTACATACTTCTTTTTATTATTTTGCAATAATTTAGGCCAACATAAGTTAAATATATTACATTTAGCATATTGCTAGTTAACGGTTATAAAATTCAGCATGAAACACCGGTATTTTCCTCCGCGGTAAAGGTAAAATCTTTTAAACACGGCTCACTTCCAAAAAGTAATTTTTCAAATTTGCATTGATGTTCAGTTATTTAGATCTAAGAGAAACAGTTATTTATCAACAAAATTCATTTTACTTACAACATCAATTATTGACAGATTTTTGAATATATGATGTAAGAAAAAAAATGTCAAACTACTTTTTTTTTAAATTTTATATTTTAGTATAAAATAATTTCGATAATCTATCAGATTTTTTAGTGACTATTAATCTGGTTTTTTATAATAAATACCAAAATATATAATTTTGCTTGTAGTTAATGATTAAGAGGGTAAAACAGATTGTTATAATTAAAGTTTTATTATAGTTTCACATCAGATTTAGATCTCGATTCCATTGGGATGCAATTTAAATAGATCGAAACATGCAGAATTCGGCACGATTACCACTGTAATTTCCACTAACCTAAATTTTTTTTACTGTTCAGCACGTAATTTATTTATCCCACAAGAATGCAGAAAATTAATCATTTATATTTGATTTTTATGTATATGGATTTCTAAAATGGATATTGCTGTTTAATGCAAGTTAAAAGCCCTTTATAAATTTATCCGGCACTGTACAAAGCGTATCAACAACATGGTTTAATAAATTTGGCGCTGACCACAATGAGAATTGGTTTCAAGCCATTATGTATTTAATTAGGCATCACTGGCGCAAAAATAGTTAGGCGATTTTTATGGTTTCTGTAAAAAAAATTAAGAATCTCTACTTTCTAGTCCATAACCTATTTCTTATTATTTTAATTACCATTGATTTTAAGTTATTTAATTGTATACAAACACGTTAAAAAACATAACTGTAAAAAAACAAACAAAAAAAAAACACTTGATTTCAGATAACTTTTGAAATACTAATTCGGCAATATTAGATGACATCCATGTTTATTATTGATCTTGCGTGACATAACGAAAGCGTGAAGAACATGCTATAAACTCCCGTTTTGATTAAATAGAGCTATAAGCTAGTGAACGTCACCGGTATTATTTTAAAAATATTTAAAAAATATATTCTACAGTGTAATTTGTAAAAATGGCTAACGATGAACCAATGAGAAGATTTCAGTTTTTATACCTCTAATGATACGACTACGTAAAATTTTTGAGCTATTTTTTAGGTGGAGGGCTATAATCACATAACAGTTTTAGAGTTTTAAGAGAGACGAACATGCACTCGCGCACACATAAACTGTCCATATTAATATTATACTTAATTGTATAATAATTAAAGGAGAATATAACTGTGAAACTTATTAAAAATCATTAAAAGATGCTTAAATTCCACAGAAAGGAAAAATATACAGGTTTTTTTTTAATGACACGTATGGTTAAAATAAACCTTCGTAAGCTTTCAGTAATTGTGTCTTAATTAAAGTAGAATACCCCTGCGAAACTTATTAAAAATAGTTAAAAGATGTTTAAATTTAGCAGAAATAAAAAAGATTTAGGTTTTTTTTTAAAGGCACGTATGAATAAATTAATTTAATAGGATACAGTTTTTTTTAATAATACGCATGGACTATGGCTGAATTAAGCCTTCGTAAGCTTTTAGTAATTGTATCGTTAATAAGAATACCACTGCGAAGCTTATAAAAAATCTTTTAAAGATGTATAACACTCTCAGAAATAAAAAGATACAGGTTTTTTTTCTTTAGAACACATGTATGGATGAATTAATCCACTTTAAGCTTTCAGAAAAGTCTCTCAAAATGGCGTTTTTCATATTTACAAAACAAAATAACATCTCAACAGAACAAAACAACATGATTATCAGTTTTGATTCATTCCATAACATTATCAGACTTTTATATTAGTACGAGTTCATGATTTGATTTATTTAAATAAATCAAAAAATATACTCACTGTAACGATAACTTGATTAGTAGTTCACATACAATTTTATGCAAAACTTACATATTATATATAAATTATTACTACGGTCATTAATTAATTATTTACAATTTTTACTTCAAGTCAAAAATAGAAAGGAAAAAATTCTATACTGTTTTAGTAAGTATAAAAATTTAAAGAAAAAGTATAATGCGAGGTTTTTGTTAAGAGAACAGATTTAAATATTTTCTTGTTGAATAGGCATCAAACCATTATTATACGTGACAATATTTTAAGTAACTAAAGAAATGATAAAAAAAAACAATACGAGAAATCAACGCATTATTTAAACAAATTACATACTACATATTTCAAAAGTTTCACGTAATTTCAAACGTCTGGTACGAGTGTCTCAGAAATATGTCTTAATTCAGAATGATGGAAGCTCCAATTTTCAAGCACATCTCAATTAATTTTACGAATTGATGTATTTTATTGAAAAATGCAAATTTGAGACATCAAAAAAGCTTCCATGAGGGAAACAAGAAATAATGAGGGAAACCATGCATAGTTATATTCTTTTAGCTATTAAGTTTAAATTGAGATGATTTTCGTTTCGACCGAAAATCATCAAATTTTAACATTTTTGATAGAGCTATTCAAATTTTGCTAAAGTATTTCGAAATGGCTAAATTCTTGTTGCCACTTGAAAACTATAAAGTATCAATTTAACGTTTTTTTAAATCTTGTGTTGAGTGAGGAAACAAATGTGATGGAACAGTAGATTTAGTTTCAAGGCTACTGAGTTCAGCAATCTTGGCGCTTAAAATTCATTAACAGAGAATCAGCGAGAAACTAGATTATACTTATAAACTGATTTATCATATTACATAAAAGATAATTTTTGAACTGATTTCGATATCTAAAGACAAAATATTTGCTATTCATTGTTTGGAATCTATAATTACATGCAAAACATAAAATTGAAATAATATCTAGCTTTAATTAGTTTATTATTTTTGTGCAGGGTATAATCAAAAATTTATT